TGGAAGGTGGCATGCCTTTACAAATACCAACTTGTATGGTGACATACCAATTGGAGTTTTGAAGGCTGTGCGGTATGCCCACAATGCATCATCCAGCTTCTTTGCCCAATCAGTTCTTGTTCACTATTTTTGAGAGGACACTTTTGATTTCCCTATTGGACACTTCCACCTGCCCCCTTGTTTGTGGGTGGTATGGTGAGGCTACCTTGTGGCGAACTCCATACTTCTCTAACAGGCCTGCAAACTCTCTATTGCAAAAATGAGAGCCACCATCACTGATTATGACTTGGGGGGGTGCTAAAACGTGTGAAGATGTTTTTCTTGAGGAAACTGGTCACCCCTTTTGCATCATTGGTTGGGAGAGCAACTGCTTCGACCCACTTGGAGACATAGTCAACGGCAACCAGTATATATTTGTTACTGTATGAGCTGACAAAAGGCCCCATGAAGTCGATCCCCCACATGTCAAACACTTCCACCTCTTGGATTGTGGTTATTGGCATCTCATGACGACGGGATATGTAGCCCGTCCTTTGACATTGATCACAGCTTTTGACCCAAGCAGGGGCATCCTTGAACAATGTAGGCCAATACAGGCCTGATTCCAGCACATTTGCTGCTGTCCGAATTCCTCCAAAGTGTCCATCATATGGCGAAGCATGGCAAGCCTGCGAAACAGAGGGTTGATCTTGCTCAAGGATACACCGCCAGATCATGTTATCAACACATATTTTGAACAATAGGGGTTCATCCTAATAATACGCACGACAATCACGGAAAAATTTCTTCTTTTGAATTGAGGAGAGATCATGAGGCACAATACCACATGCTAAGTAATTAGCAATATCAGCATACCATGGTGCCTCCTCCATTGTCATAGCAAGTAATTTCTCATCCGGGAATGTCTCAATGATATCTTCAACCTCCGTTCTCTTCTCTGCCCCTTCCAACCGAGAGAGGTGGTTTGCTACTTGATTGTCCGTCCCCTTTCGATCACGAATCTCCAGGTCAAATTCTTGTAGCAACAGAACCCAGGGAATCAAGCGGGGCTTTGACTCCTTCTTTGCTATCAAGTACCTAATGGTTGTATGGTCAGTATAAACAGTAACTTTCGAACCAATAAGATATGACCTGAATTTGTCGAAGGCAAACACTACAGAGAGAATTTCCTTTTCTGTGACCGTGTAGTTCAGCTGTGCACCACTAAGCATCCTGCTTGCATAGTAAATTGGGTGCATAATTTTCTCCTTGCGCCGCCCCAAAACCGCTCCTATAGCATAATCACTGGTGTCGCACATCAGCTCGAATGGTTGCTCCCTGTTGGGTGCAACAATGATGGGTGCATTCACTAGTCTCTTCTTCAGCTCATCGAATGCTAACCTGCAATCATCAGAAAACATAAAGTGCTGATCTTTTTCAAGCAGCTTACATAAGGGGTTAGCAGTTTTTGAAAAATCCTTAATGAAACATCTGTAGAATCTGGCGTGCCCAAGGAAACTTCTCAGTGCTTTCCCTGAAGTGGGTGCTGGGAGCTTCTCAATCACATCAACTTTTGCATGGTCTACTTCAATCCCCTTTTTGGATATGCCCCAACACTATGGCTTCTTGTACCATAAAATGGCACTTTTTCCAGTTCAGCACCAAATTTGTCTCCACACAGCGTTTGAGCACTCTTTTAAGGTTGTGAAGACAATCTTTGAATGAATCCCCTACTACGGAGAAATCATCCATGAACACCTCCATAATGTCTTCGACCATGTCGGTGAAAATGGCTAACATACACCGCTGGAATGTGGCCGGTGCATTGCAAAGTCCAAAGGGCATTCTTCGAAAGGCAAAGATGCCATACAGACATGTGAAGGACGTTTTCTCTCTATCTTCCGGGGCTATTGAGATCTGATTGTACCCCGAGTATCCATCCAAGAAACAAAAATGGGATCGCCCAGCTCACATGTCCAACATCTGGTCAATAAAGGGTAAGGGGAAATGGTCCTTTTGGGTGGCTGCGTTTAATTTCCTATAATCCATGCAAATCCGCCCCCCTGTGACTGTACGAGTTGAGATCAACTCGTTCTTCTCATTTCGTACAACTGTCATTCCACCCTTTTTAGGTACACACTGAACGGGGCTTACCCAATTGTTGTCAGAGATGGGAAAGAGGATGCCCGCATCCAGCCACTTGATTACCTCCTTTTTCACTACCTCCTTCATATTCGGGTTCAGCCTTCGTTGATGTTCCCTGGAAGGTTTGTGCCCTTCTTCCAGATAAATCTTGTGCATGCAGAAGGTCGGGCTGATACCCTTTATGTCTGCCATGGTCCAACCAATGGCAGTTTTGCATTCCTGCAACACCTACAGTAATTGTTCTACCTGCACAGCTAGCAAACCAGATGATATAATAATAGGCAAAGTAGAATTGGGACCCAAGAAAGCATACCTGAGGTGGATTGGAAGCGGTTTCAGCTCCAGCTGTGGTGGTTCCTCTATTGATGGTTTTGCAGGTGGTGTAGCTCTCTTTTCTAACTCAAGGGGCTCGAACTCAAGCTCCCTCTTCCAGAATCCTTGGCCTTCAAGTGCCATGACCCACTCTGCCAATCCTTCACCATTTATCTCCTCTAAATTTGTCAAGTAAGCTCCCAATGGATCTTTGGCGTTTAGGGTCTCAACGTCTTCATACAGGATCGCATCCACAGCTTCCACTAGTGAGCAATTTGCATATTCACTGGGTCTCCTCATGGATTATTCAACGTTGAATATTACTTCTTCATCGTTTAACCTCATTTTTAATTCCCCAGTTTCACAATCAATCAACGTTTTCCCAGTGGCTAAGAATGGCCTCCCAAGAATTATGGGTATCTCCTCACCTACCTGACAGTCCAGAATAACAAAGTCTGCAGGGAATACAAACTTTCCCACTTGTACCAGCACATTATCAAGAATCCCCGTCGGTCTTTTAACCGTGCGGTCAGCCAGTTGCAACAGCATCGAAGTCGGTCTAGCTCTGCTAATGCCCAGTTTTGTATATATCGCCAAAGGCGTCAAGTTTATGCTGGCTCCTAAGTCACACAATGCTTTTGCAAAAGCATAACTCCCAATAGTACACGGAATAGTGAAGCTACCTGGATCGAACATCTTTTGAGCCATGGGTCGTGTCACTACTGCGCTACATGTGTGTGTCAGAGTTACTTTGGACCGGTCCTGAAAGTCAAATTTCCATGACATCAGATCCTTCATCATCTTTGCATAGCCTGGCATTTCCCTCAAAGCATCCATCAGAGGGATATTCAATTGAATCTAACGAAGCATCTCCATGAATTTCCTGTATTGATCTTCTTTCTTTTGTTTTGTCAGTCTCTGAGGGAATAGTGCAGGCACCACTCTTTATTCATTGCTTGCTGGCTGTTCTTTGTTGCAATTTTGTGGCACAAGAGGTACCACCTATTTTGCAACTTGTTCACTTTCTTTAGCTTTACCTTTATCAACCCGAGCCTGTTCAACCACCACTTCAGTGAGTTCTGCTGATTCATCTATCTCTACTGGAACTGGAGTGGCTGGTGTAGTCTCTCTTCTTGATTGAACAACTTCTTGCTCCTTGTCTAAATCTCTCCCATTCCGGAGACTTACTACCATTAGCTGATTCGGGTTTTGCTCCTTGGGGTTAATGTTCATGTCGGCTGGCAATGTTCCCTGGGGGCGGTTATTCAAGGCCATGGACAGCTGCCGCAGTTGAGTTTCAATACCCTTAATTGCTGAGTCATGCGCTGCCAACCTTTCCTGCATCTTACCATTTGTTCTAATGATTTGTTGCAGCATACCCCTAATTTCTACCATGTTGCTGTCCTATTGCTGATGAGGTGGCAGATATGTCAACTGTTGTTGGGGCTGCTGTTGATAGCCCTGTTGTCTCTGATATGGCACCATTTGGCCTTGGGGCCGCATACCTCCTGGTTGTGGCATGTTCGGTCTGTATTGCTGGTTGGGTGCTAGTGCCCATTGTTGTCATCTTTGCCTCTAACCCCCAAAGTTGTTGACATAATTCATATCCTCTCTTAACCCTTGATTGTCACCTTCTCCACTCCATGAACACACATAAGACTGATTAATGCAAGGTGTACACAGTCCTCCATTTGTTGTGTCAACTATATGCACTTGCTTTGTACCCATCTCATCAATCTTCTTTGTTAGTATACTCATCTAAGTCATGAGTGTGGCTATGTTCTCTGCATGTGAATTATTTAGGTCAAGAGGAACTGAATGCACTATTGGTGATGGGGTCGTACCTCTCGTCATCCACCCCGAATTCTGGGCCATCTTATCAAGAAGGATTTTACACTCTGTGAATGTCTTGCTCAGGAATGCACCCCCAGCTGAAGCATCTACATTGGCCTTTAAATTGTCTGCTAATCCCATGTAGAATCTCTGGCCGAGCATCTGGTCTGGAATACCATGGTGGGGACACTTCACTAGCATCCCTTTGAATCTTTCCCAAGTTTCCTGCAAGGTCTCAGTGGGCTGCTGCTTGAACTGCAATATCTCATCAATCTGTCTTGCAGTCTTGTTGGGCGGGTAAAACTTGGGTTGCAACTGCTTGACTAATTCCTCCCAAGTGGCAATGGAATTTATTGGGAGCGAATTTAGCCAAGTCTGAGCTTCCCCAGTCACAGAGAATGGGAACAGTAATAGCTTGATGTCTTCTGGGGTCACATTTGGCTGCCTTTGGTTCACACAAATTGACAGAAAATTTTTCAGGTGTTGTTGAGGGTCTTCAATGTGTGACCCGGAGAACAATCCCTTATTCTGCAAAAGATGCAGCATGTTGTTGGTGATCTGGAATGTCTCCGCTTGTATTTGGGGCACAGCAATGGCGGT